AGCAGGAATTTGCTGGTGAGGATGAGGTAAGTGAGGTCACTTGCATTTCCTCAGTGCAAAATCAATTCTGTGGCACAAATTGCACTATGCAAAGAAAACGGAGCCAGGGGAGGTTGCTCTGTGCCTAGGAGGGAAGGGGCTGGGTCTGATCCTGACTCACACCAGTGAGGAGGAGACGCTGGCAAATAGATCACATGGAGTCAAAGCCAGAACTCAGACTACAGCTCAGTACAGCTGTAGATTACAGGTCTGTGCACCAGGACCTTTCACAGAAATAAAAATCCATGAAATGAGGCCTGTGTCCCCCAAAATGCTCCGTCTAGCTACAAGTAACACAAACTGCTCTGTGGAGCTGAAGCTGAGCGGCAGGCAGCAGAACTTGCCCCAGGCTGGACCCTAGATCTTTCCTTAACTTTAATCAGACCCCGCGGGGCCCTTCTGTGTGCGGCGCCTCCCGGCCTGGCCTGGCTCGGAGCTGCCCGGTGGCTGCACAAGCTGAAACTTCTGGTGCCACCAACAGCTCAGCCCGTCTTGGTGCTCAGCTCTCCTCGCGCTGGGGTTTGGAAGCACGCGGGACTTCAGACGCACATCCCTTCCATCTCCTCCTCCCATTCCTTGTCCAAAACTGCCCCCCATCTCTCTTGGGATGTCAGGCAGCTTTTCACTGCAGATTTGACCCTTCCTGGTCTGCTTTGAGAAATGACAGTCCTGGATGAATTAACAGGAGTGTTAAAACACGTGGAAGAAATGGGAATAACAACCTGGCACAATGTGCAGCACAGGGAGACAACATTTTCTGGGATGGTCTTCTATGGCAGCAGAGAAATGAAGCTTCTGTTTCCTTCAGGGCTTTGTAAATATTTTTTCTCCGTATCAATTCTCTGGCATAGATTAACATAAGAAAACCTGAAAGTGGAGCATTGTAGTGAGGTTGCTTGTGCAAAATGTAGATCCTGCAGCACAGAGAGCAAATTCTGTGTATTGAAACAGGTTCTGGTCCTGTTTGCTCCTCAGTGGCCAAATTTCAATGACCTTTAGTAACTTATGCTGAATAACTTGTAAAGCACTGTGGGATACTGCAGGGTGAACGTTACACGTGTAACGCTCTCTACAAAAGCTCCTGCAGGGTTGCTTGGAAAGAAATAATGCTGGCTAATATTTCTGTTAGTAACGTGTTAGTCCTTATTGCACCTGCATTGTGGGATGATCAAAGAGGGAGGCAACAACAACATTGCTGAACTTTCTTTTAACATATCTGTGTCTAGGAGAAGAATAAATCAAATAACATGAGAGGCCGCAGAAGCACTAAACCAATAAAACAAGGTGAGCTAAGCTCGTGGTCTCTTCTCTTTAACGCTTATAGATTACTTATTTTTTTATTTACTGGCTATTGTAAAATGAACAGTAGTAAACAGCAGGAGCAAGCAGCTCGTGGGCACTCAGAATAGCTTGTTTTGCTAAGGGGACATCAGCACAGCGAGGCGCAGGGAGCTGCGGGGCGCTGGGCTGGGCAAATTCCACGTGCAAGACGAGCTGCGGGCAACGTGCGGTGCTTACAGAGCTGCCGTGGGGTTCTGTGCACCTGCAGGCACCTGGTCTGTGTGGAAATGGATCTACACAATAAATCTAGAAATCAGGGAGAGATTTTGAACGTGCGTTTGAGATACAATTTACTGTCTGTGTTTGAGCATGCTCCTGCCAGAGCAAATCCAAACACCCGCCAAGCTGCTGTGGTCATCTCTGGACTGCCTTTCTAGCAGATGCATCACAGTGTTATCATGTTATAAATGTATATGTAGTCTTGTGAGCTGACCAAAAATTCCCTTCATTTTTCATCTGTTTTGTTTTAGGTTTGGTTCAGCCGCAGTTGTGTGCCTCTGTGCTGTCTTTTAGTTCATATCTAACCCCTTAACTCTGCTGTGAAATATCAGGAGCAGGAATTGCTTTCCAGAACTCCTGTATCATGTCCAGACTTTGCAGTGGCAACTTTCTGTTGTCAGCTTCCCAATCAGCTGGCTGCAATTTAGTTGACATATGATGCAATATATATATATATATATGTATGTATATATATATGTATATATCATTATACATATATTATATATCAAAAATATTTATTTTCAATGCAAAAGGAATACTGTTGGCTTCTGCTGGAATTCATATTTTTCCTGCTGCTGTCTGCTTTGAGGGGGTGCTGGGGGTGCGCATGGAGCCTGCGCTGCTCTTGCTACTTGCTCTAGCAATGTCCTACCTGATCCGAGAGCAGCGGCTGTGCTGTTGTTATAAGTAACTGGCCCAAATGGGAGGCTCAAGAGAAGAGAGTGGAACAGGAGGGGTCCGAAAGAGTCATTAATTCTCCTGTTTTTGCTTACGTAGCTGTTCCTGCGAAGAAGACCGTGTGGAACTGGGTTTCCTACCTGGAAGAGGAACAGATGGTGGCTGCTCCCCTGAAACTGTTCCGAGAGGTCAGCACCTTCCAAGAATCTTTCCTTGCTTTTTTTCCCTCAGGCAAAGTCACAGAATCAGTAACTTTACGGAAGCAAAACTGGAGGCTGGCTTCGGTCCTGCAGCTATAGTCACTAGTTGTTTTGGTGCAAGCAGGCAGTAAAAGCCCTGCAAAAAGAAAACACAATCAAGTATCACTCAGAAACAGCCAAAGATTTTCTCTTTAGTCCCTTTGGTTAGCTCTGAGTAAATCAGCTCGGGTGGAAGCGCATTCAATCGTGGTCTGATACATTTATAGAAGTTGAGAGAACAAACCTAGCTTTGCTGGAGCTCCGCAGCATTTCGCTGCCTCATCCCAAAGTAAAAGTTCATCTCCCGGTCGCTCTCTGAAGCCAAGGGCTCTTGGCACCGTGCAGGTGATGAGAATCAAACCCGGGTAATCAGTGTACTGCAATCAGCCAGTTGCAATTCCAGCTGGAATTTCTCCTGAAGCCTGGTCTGTGCTTCGGAGATTTAATGTGAATAAAGAAAAAGTGATCCACGAAAGGACTCTTTCTCCCGAGTAAAGAGGCCTTGCCTGTGTTACCAATGGAAGGTGAGATCTTGCAGGGAACAAGGTCTTTCAGAAAAGTCTGGACTTTGCCCATATGAGCACAAGGAAAAAAATAGCTTCCCTGTTTCTACCAGTCTTCCTGTCCTGGGCTGCGAAGGGGATTTTTTTTGTGTTCAAATCAAACTCACTGCTACATCTGCTACAAGATTTGATCGTGGTTAATTGCAGCAGACTCACAGTAGTCTGATGAGTTTTTAAAATGTTATAGTAAGTAAATCTGAGATAGGGTGACTGGGCCTTTATCGATCTCTCCACCTGTGCTTGTCTGTTAAAGGAGCAGTCATTTAGAGACAGATTTTTTTTTTCCTCTGTGAACTGAAGACCTAAAGCCTTAAGTATACTTGATGGCTGCTCTGCAATAGACTTTTCTTCAGGAATTAAAAACAAATTTTTCTTCCCATCCCTCCCCGCTGTTTTTTCCCCTTGTCTCACAGTATCAATCGTTCCCGCAAGGCCGAAATGGATTTAAACCCGGAATGAAATTAGAAGGGCTGGATCCTGAACACCCATCTCGATTTTGTGTCCTTACTGTGGCTGAGGTAGTTGTTTTTCCTGTCTTTGATTCCACAGATCTCATTTAGATTTATATTTTTGTTTGGGGGAATGTTATTTTAGTCCATTAAAAAGTTAGAAACACAAAAGAATAACATTCTAATAAATTAACTGATTAGGAGAAGTTCAAGGTGACATTAAAGCAATGCATTTATGTGGTTAAAGATCTAAGCCTGAAAACCTACTGTCAATTTTTTGTTCTTCCAATTGCAATTTGGAAAAAGTGCACCTATTTATTTCATGCAGTGAATGAATATGAAGAAGAATGATGAAATTAGGCTCTAAGACTTAGGAAACACAAAGCAAGTTGAAATGCTTTTAGGCTTCTTCAGTTCTGTGAAATCTGCATTGATTTGGTATAGATATAAATGTTCTCCTGCTGTGTTTGTACTCGACACAGGAATGCGGAATATGAGGCCAAGGAAGTTGCACTGGCCAATTTTGTACTGCTTGAAAAGAGCAGCATGGAAACTAAGAGATGCAAATGAGAAAAAAAAAGGCTTTTTAAAAATAAATCCAATCTTAAATTTACTTTTATTTGTAAATCCACATGTGGAAGGAGGGCTTGGTGGGTGTTTTTGTTTAGCTGCTCTGCGAGTCTCTGCTAACGGAGCTGCCCCGCTCGCAGGTGCAGGGGTACCGTGTGCGACTGCACTTCGACGGCTACGCGGAGGGCTACGACTTCTGGGCCAACGCGGACTGCGCGCGGGGCCGCTCGGCTGCGGCCGGGGCTCTCGGAGGAAGCGGGTGGAATTGAGAGGTGCCCTCACGGAAGAGCACACGGCTCCCTGTTGATATCTCTAAAGACTGGCGTTGTTAGTCAAGCTAGAAACTATTGCAGGGGTGTGTGAATCGGGGAGGTCTCTTTGGGGGTCTGCGATTTTTCCTTCTTTCCTGCCTTCGTTTCCTAAGAACTCGTGCAGTTTCGCATTAATAATTAGGTGATTACAAAGGCAAAGGCAAAATGGTTTAAGGCAGATGCATAGTCCTTGGCGATGGTGCAAGGGCAGTTATCCTGCAAAATTCAAGCTCTTCCCAGGTAATTTCTATTTCTGAAAACCCAATCTGATTGTAATGGGGCTGTGTCAAGCAGTCTTTTACCTCTCTTTCTAGGCTTCAAGGAAGAAGAATTTAATTGGACTTCTTATTTGAAGAATTGCAAAGCTCAAGCAGCTCCAAAAAGCCTTTTCAAGACCCTTAGCGCAGTAAGTGGTGGTATTGAATACAATGTGTTTTCAAATAGGTCTGATCTGAAGCAAGTTTTGACCAGAATATTTACGTGGTTTTCTAATACATTCATGCCAGAGGTGCAACCATGGTGTGCAATCAGATGCAAGCTATTCCCTGCTGTGATTTATTTGCAGGATGGGAAACTAGTGCTATTTTTCTTCCTTCCTCCAGTCACTGGCTTTCCAGACGGAGAATTTGTTTCTTCTCCTTAACAGTGGAGGAAAAGATTTGCACTGCCATTTGTTAAATATATTACAACAATTTGTTTTGCTGGGTCCCCAAAGTCAAAATATTTGTGTTACTTTCCTCTATTTTAATAATTTCCAAAATAATTTCTGCTTTCTAGCAGCGTGCCTTTGTACCCTGTGGGGTCCATCATCAGGTTACAGAGCTTGAACGTATTTATCCTTCACCCAGCTCTGTTTTCCCTTTAGCCATTGGCCTCAGGTCTCACAGAACTCGTGTCTGTAGCTCTCTTGCCAGATGCACCAGCAACCTGGTAACTGTAGTGTGTTTTGGGCCATGCACTTCTCAGTTAAACCTGCCACAAATGCATTTATCATAGTAACTTAAACAGCCTGACCTACGGCGTGGCCAAGGTTCCCTTTCCGGGTGTCCTGTTCCTTAGCCTGTCACCCCTTCTGGATTTCGTGTGGGAATGAAACTGGAGGCAGTGGACAAGAAGAATCCGTCGCTGATGTGCGTCGCCACCATCGCGGACATGCTGGAAAACCGCCTGCTCATTCATTTCGATAACTGGGATGAGAGTTATGACTACTGGTAAAGGAAACGGGTTTTCGAACACATCTGCAACAGGCTGGGGTTTATCCCACCCCCTCACTGATGCTCTTAGCTCATCTTTTTAACGTAGTAGGATGTAGTGTAGTAACATGGTTCAGTCCCAGCCTCACTTAGTTGTGTTGCACATTGGAGAATCTTGGTCTCCTGCCCTCATTTTGCGGCCAGGTGGAGTGTTAATAAAGGAAATGTTTTCCCTCCATGGTCACTGTTTTCCAACCCACATCAAATAAGACACCTTCTTTGAATTTGCCTATAAAAAGCAAAAGGGGTGCCCTGAATTGCTATCAAATCGGCCCATTTCAAAAAGTTCAAAAAATGCAATAACATGAAGAAGCCGGGACAAATGCCACTAGTTTTCAGCTATCATTAATGACTAACAGGCATTTCTAAGCTAAGACCTTAAAGATCTCTGCCCGTTCTGACAAGTTATAGTGATTTTTTGGGGGCTGTGTTTTGTTTGGTTCCAACTTGGACAATCTCTATCCAGGCTGAATGGTGGCCTATAGGGTCCACATGTTATTAAACAAATCTGCATCTTGCACATTTGTTAAAGCATCAAGCAGATTCTAAGGCTGCTTTGTGTTCTGGGCAGGCAACGCCTTTTACACCGTGACCGCCCCGCTGCGAGGGGGGCTGCAAAGGTCTCGGGCAACCTCTGAATTCCTGTTTCTGTCCTTGTGCCCACGTTTCCCTCTGGTGCAGGTGCGAGCCGAGCAGCCCCTACATCCGTCCTGTCGGTTACTGCCAGGAAACGGGAACCCCGCTGACAACGCCACCCGGTACGTTGGACATGACACCTATTCCTGCCTCAGGAAACACCCTGCAAGCTCCATCCCCCCTGTAATCACCTATCTGCAAGTTACAGGTTCCACTCAGTTCTCTTTTCTCAACTGACTGAGCAGCGTTTCTGTTCATACTTGTTGCTGCTGTAGTTTATTTTGTTTTATAGCTCTTTCAAGCAGTGAAATGAGCTCTGGTCATTTGCAATTGAATTTGATTTCAGAAGGAAAAAGAGAGTTTTGAAGTATTTGCAATATTTCCTTTCTAAAGTGAGCTGGAAGAGAAAGGAATCGGTAACGTGATTTTGTTGATGGTAAGATGGAATTTTTGGAAATGAAGGATTAACTGAAGTCACCTCGTTTTGCTGCTGCACTGGCATTCAGCAAATGAAAAGGAATGGTGGCCAACGAGAAAGGACAGAGCCTACAGGAAAATCAATGTTGTTTTCAGGCCCTGAGAGCTCTCGTTCACCTTAAAAATAAATAAATAAATAAAAGTCTGCTGTTGGCTAGACTGACAGCCCTGGAGCGAGAGGTTTTGTAATTCCCGACTCCCAGATTTAGCGCCGTGGGCGGCAGCAGGAGGATCGGCCGCTGCGGCCGCGCGAGCCGCAGCAATCCCGCTTACAAACCGTCCTGTGCCAAAGGAAGCACCGAAGCTGCCACAATACCAAAATAACAAGGAAAATAAAGCAGAAGCGTTTCTTAAACATCGCTTAGCGATTGCTGCGGGAGAGAAACCTTCCGTGGTTGTTAACTAGGAAAGCCGTGTAGGTCCCTGAAATTGGGATGATGGTGATGGAGTCTTTTATCTGCAGGCTGCTAATTTTACCCAGCTATGGGTGAGTAGGTAGGAGGTGATGAGAAGTTTCTACAGTCTGACAGCCACTCACACAGAATAGGTAATAAAATAAGAGATTAATTTGGTGGTGCCATTCCATGTCACGAAATCTGCTGCCGCGCTTCTACCTGGCAGCTGTCCCTGCGGCGTCAGAGCGACGCTGTGCAGAAATGAGCTGTTCCGTTCTCGTGCTGACGCCCCGAGCGGCCGCTGCGGAGCCGCCGTGTGCTCCAGGGGCTGCGTTTGACCCGAGCCAGCTTTGTCAGTGCTAAATTAATGTAATAGCCATGTGCAGAGCTCCCTCTCTGTTGCTTGTGACAAATAACTGCGGATTTTTCTTAAATATTAATCTTACTTTCCCCCCTGCCTCCTCCAGGATATAAGGATCCCGAAGCTTTCTCCTGGGAGAAGTATTTGGAAGAGACTAATTCGCAAGCAGCCCCAGCAAGAGCATTCAAACTGGTTGGTGAATCTCTCTGTTTTTGGTTTGCTTTGAGGTCAGGGAAGTAGAGGAAACTGCTGCTGTTTACCCTCTCTTGCTAGACCTCTGGCGTGACAGAGGTTCACCATTTCTCTGCCAAATGGGTAAAACTGTGGGTTTTTTCTGATGTCGTTTTTTACTTTGAGTTTAAGATCATCCCTCTTGATTGATTAAGGAAATCATAAGAGCAGACTCACCAAACTCCTAGATAGTGAAGACCATCCTTCAGCCTGAATTTCAAGATAATTTTTTCAACCCTGGGAAAATGGGCTTCAGTTTCTTATCGAGGGATTTATTTGAATGGAAACTCACTGTGAACAAAACCAAAAGTTATTTTAAAGGCTTTTTTCTTAATTTTTAAAAAATTAAGAAAAGCACCATGCTTTAAAGCTGATTTTTTTCATGTCATAGCAGCTTTTGGAGGCCGACGCCTCCCCTCGTGCTGTGTCCGTAGGGCGGCTGCAGACGCCGGCGCTGCCCCCGCGGCTCCTGCCCGCTGCCCTCCGGGATATTCTGTTGGCAAGTTCCTCGGGAGAGAGCAGGGAAAGGGCAGTCGGGGAGGCCTCGGGCAGGGGAGGGAGAAGCTCTGGGTTCCAGCAAGTGCCCGTTTGCCGGCTGCAGACGGGAGGATGCAGGGGAGGAAGAGGCCAGTGCTGCCTCGCTAGAGAACGGCCGCAGCTGGAGTCTCCTGCAGGATAGGGAATTCCAAAGCATCCCTTGGGTTAAGGTTTTCCACGCCCGGACAGACCGTGTCTGTAATGGCAAGTGCAGCACCCAGAGCACCTCAGGGCCGCAGCGTCCCGCGTTCCCAGCGGGCCGGGAACCTTCGGAATAGCAAGAAAGGAAAAAAAAGGCACTAGTTGGTCTACTCAGGAATAATAGGACAGATTTTGTATAAACAAATATTTGGAAGGGTGATGAAATTCTCTAGGATACAACAAGAAATGGTGAAGTACGACCCGTTTAAAATTCCCAATTGAAATCTCGCAGTAATCTATCGCTGTGGTGGTGTTCCCTCGAGTGTTCAAAGTGTGCAAGGAAACCCTCTGGAAGCCCGATGAGAAATGACACCCTCAGAAAGAGAGCAGCCCTTCCCGCAGGACACGGCGCCTGTTCTGCACTGGCTGCTCCCTCTGTTCCTCCAAATGCAGCCTCTTTCCAAGGGAGAAAGACACTCTCTTGTCCGACTCTTTAGCCCATATTCCGGTACCTCTGCAGCCACACTTTGCTCCTCCAAAAAATTTGACTTTGAGAGAGCAGTAGGGAGGGTTGATCGTGGCTCTCTTGAAACTCTAGGCTGTCAATTAGTATCCAAGACTGTGTTTAAAAAAAAACACATAGAAAAAAATAGTATTTGATTCATTAATGGTTAATAGAACTCTTCCAAGATCAAATTTCATTATATTTCTGGCCTGCTTGGTCTCAAGTGCAAATACATGGTACAGCTATTGATTTTATTATTATTACAGCTAGCAATTACAGCAGATGAGTACATAAAAGTAGGGGTTGAGAGCCAGAGCTGGCGTTTCTCATGGAATTATTTTTTAGCAGTTTTCAGCAGCTATCACTGTAGTCTGGAGCTGCTGCTCATCAGCACAAATAGCAGATCCCATCTCTGGGATGGGATCTTCCCCACCCAAACCCACGGGAGGAGGCGGCGTCAGGATTTGCATCGCTTCAGTCCGTGTCATGGGCTGTGGATTTACAGAAAGGCCAGCGCTGCTGGAGCGGTTTCGCTCTCGAACGCTCAGGCTTCTCCCAGATAGACAGACGTGGTCGGCCCTCAGAACTAGAAGTGCTTTATGGTTGTCTTTTCATTAACCTCTGGTCTTGTTCTGCCACCTGAGTTGGAAAAAACTGTCAGCGCTGCCTAAAATCTTGACCTTGGTTGGTGAGGCCAGGGGGAGGAGGGCACACCTGGAATGGGGATCCAATGCTCCATAGCTCCCAGCTAAGGAGCTCAGAGGGGGAATTCGAAGGAAATTTGAAATCCTCCCGCACCAACCATTGCTTGTCCATGGAGTGTTCTTGAAGAGGATTCCTGAATTCTCCACCTTTGGCGCGAGTGCCTCAGTGCTTTGCTGTAGCCGAGGGCAGCAGCACTTTTAGGAGTTGAGCACCTGCATTTAGCTGGATATTCCTAAGCTTTGGGAGATGTTCTGGAGAGCCTTTCCTGAAGCAGGTCTAATCCCAGGCTCCCAGCTGTCCCCGCCACTGAGCAGGATGCGGTACCTGGCTGTGCCCGCGGCCGAGCGGGATGCGGTACCCGGCTGCTCCAGGCGTTCCGTGGTCTCCCGGCTGGTAACATCGGTGGGATGGAGCCCATCCTGCTGGCTCGCTGTGCCTTTCCCCAAGAGGAAGGAGCACAAGGGAGGAGCCTTCTGGGCGCTTGAAGCCCTTTTCCCAGTGAGGGTGATGCGGTTCCTGCAGCACTAACTTCAATGTGTGCTCAGGAGCCAGCAGTGCCCTCCGTCACTTCCAGCCGTTAAAGTGTGGGTTTAGGGGCAGGAATAACACCCAAAGCCACCAAAAGGAAAGCTTCTCCCCATCACACATTATGCCCTGAGGAGCCCTGGCGCACAGGGGCTGTTTGGGGCTCTCCTAACCCGTGTTTTGTGTCGCACTCGCAATTCTCTTTTCCAGCGCCCTGCTCACGGATTCCAGGTTGATATGAAGCTAGAGGCTGTGGACAAGCGAAATCCCATCCTGATAAGAGTGGCGACTGTCATTGACAAAGACGACTATCGCATCAAGGTAAACAAGCGCAAAAAGGCTCCGTGGACGGAGGCTCCCTGGCAACAGGCTCCTTCCCGACCGCGATAACGTGGGCAGGAGCGGAGCCTGCTCCCCGCTGGCCACTTGGTTCTCAGCCCTATCTCTGTGGTTGCGGGGAAAAAGTCAAATTTTACCAAACGTGGCTGCGCGCTTTGCAGCGTGGCTGCACGTTTGCCTGCAGCTCTGCGGGGTAAACAACCCAGCAGCCTCTAAACAGCAGTGATCTTCAGTCTCTGCCAACCTGGATCTGAACCGGCAGGGCAAAGCGCTTCAAACTATATTACTGTTGAAAATTTTAGTCTGTTCACCACAAAACTGGCCCAAATCCTTGGCTTTTATGGTGTTTTTCTGGATTCTCAGAAGAAAAAAGAAATCTGTTTACAGATTTGTAGTCCCAAGCATAGAGTTTTATGGGGCAACCCATAATCTATGATTTTTTAATAGGCTCTGTGATTTGACTGTGTCACCAAAACCTCTGTGTTCTGCAAAACATAACTGCTAATGGGCTAGGAAATAAAGGGCTCAGGAAACAAGTAGTTACACTGGGCCTATAAAGCATGACTGTGCCCAGCGTAAGGAATCCAACGCGTCAGCCCCAGCTGAGCAAGGTGACACGAAGGGAGAAGTTAAGGTGCCATGTTCTTGACTGTACCCCTCCCTGTGCTTCTTTTAGATACATTTCGATGGCTGGGACCATGTTTACGATTTCTGGGTAGATGTGGACAGCCCGGACATTCATCCAGTTGGCTGGTGTGCAAAAACTGGCCACGCTTTGCAAGTCCCACTAGGTATGTAGATGGCATCAATGTCATGTTCTGTGTTGAAGAGCAACCTGCTCTTCAGGTGCAGAGGCTTTTACACGTTTGTTTAACTTTCTTTCCGTTCCCAGGTGCTGCCGTCCCAGTGGGAAGCGCAGGGCAGGTGTGTCCCACTCCAGGCTGCCAGGGCATCGGTCACGTCAAGGGCCCGCGCTACGGAACTCATTACACGTACGTGTGGCGGGTCCCCTCCTCGAGCTCGGGGTGACCCTGTGCGAGCGGGAGCAGCGGGCGCCCGCGGTGGTTCTGCAGACGGTCATAGCTGTCCCTGCAGCTCCCTCTCGTGTCTCAATCCGCTACTGTGGGTTCCGTTTGCACCAGCAGACCCATGGCGACTGCCATCACACAGGGTAATTCAGTCCAGTGTCTGCTGGACATCAACAAAGCCATTTCTTATGTAAAATAATGCCCCCAGGAAGAGCATGGCAGCAGGCAGGAAAAAGGAGAGAGAGTGGCTGAAGTGTTTTCACACAGGTGTGGGGAGAGCCAGCTCTTGCTTTGTGCTCTGCCTCCAATTTCTTATGTGTTCGTGGAAAAGGAGAATGCAAAAAGCATCTCAGAGGTTTTCAGAACATCCAGTATCATGTAATTTTGCAAGGGCCTTAAAGTTTTGCAAGTGAAATTTGCAGAACTGCTTTTAGTTTCACGAATTATTGCTCAGGAAGACAGGCGAGAGAGGAAGAGTGCTCTTGTTCTCTGGCTAGGCTGACTTTAAAAACATAAGCTCTTTATTTTATTTTATCTGGCAACACAGCTTAGTTGGCTGCCCATATTCCGATGTGAATCTCAACAGAGAAAACCCATTGCTGGACCGTCTGAGCGGGGAGAGACCGGCCCCTAGCCAAAGCACCCAGAAAAGCAGGAGAGCAGAAACGGCCGCTCCGTTTCCTGGGGGCGCAGGGGAGTCTTCTCAGGAGGACTCTCCCCAGTCCAGGTGAGCTCAACCCTGTTCCTTTGCAGGTAACCAGGGAGCCCAACTGTTCTGCAAGGCAGAAAAACACAAGAATTGACGGAAAAGCAGTAAAGCACTGAGTTAATCTGTGGTGTTGACCCATGGCCCAGCCAACCTCAGCACAGAGCAGGGCACTTCTGCACCCTCCCATGCCTTAACAGGCTTCATTCCTTCATCCTGCTGCTCTGCTCACATTCCCACTAAGGAAATTGCATTCTTTCTCCATAAATTTCCCTTGCTGTTTCAATTTGATATATATATATTCTTTTCTTTCATTTCCTGTCCTAAAACTGTCAAGCAAGATTATTTGGCACTATTAAATTATGACTGCATTCCACCCCGCAGTGGGCTGGTTGGTGTAAGGGCTGGGTATGTATCACCTGACGAACAACTTGAGCTCCTTCAAATATTTCATCATCTTACACGAAAATCCGAAACTGGGCTATTGTGGAAATAACGTGCGTCTTATCTGTGTATTAGTTTTTGAACAGCAGGAGGCAGTTAAAATGTATCGTTGGATCCGGCACCAGCAATTATCCGGGAGCGAGGGAAGCTTCCACCACTAGATGGTGGTTGATGCTTCCACTTGCAAGAGGCAGCTGTGCCCTCCCCTGGGGAGAGGGGAAAAGTCGGCCCAGCTCCTATCACTTGTCTGTCTCTGCAGGAAATCTGTGCAAAGCAGCGAAAAATCCTGCCAGTGCAGCCTGTACAGCCTGTCGGGACAGTCTGAAAACAGCCAAGAGAGAGACTGGACAGAAGAGGAATCCTCTGCATCCGGCAAAGCCAAACCAAAAAAGTAAATTATATTTTTTGCACTAGGTTTTCATGGATTAAGTCATGTTTCCTGGTGGTGCTGCCGAGTTTGAAACACAGATGTAAATCACTGAAAAAAACGCTGTGATCAGAGGTTTGCAGCGTGGGGCTTTAGATCCACATGTTAACTTTAAATCCCCTCCCTTCCTCCCATTATTCTGTGGCTCCTTTTCCTGCTGTAAACTTGTGTCTGAGGCCTAGCCATGAATTTAATAGCACAGTCCTCCTCGTAGAGACAGAGATGGGGGCAGCGTCGTGGCGCAACTGCCCGTTTTAAGAGGGAAAAGATCTTAGTTTCTGCAAGGCCCATTAATCTTGGTGAAAAGGAGCAAGCCTCCCAATTTGTGCATCTCATGAAATGTTTTTGTGATTGATGCTTTCAGGCTCGGGTGCTCACACGCCTACATAAAGTTACAGCTGGTGAAACAAGAAGGCGACGGAAAAGGTTGGTTGATTTGTGTGTGTATGTGTGTGCTTAAATACAAAAAGTCCTTTACATCTTTTTGTCTTTGATCCCACAGCGTGTGCACGGGGCTGGTGTCAGAGTCTTAATTCTCTTCCTTTTGCTTCCTTTAAAATGAGGAGGAGGGGTAAAATCCCCTAGTGATACGAGAGTTAATATTTTGTGGAGTCTCCTATTTATTAACTGGGGAGACCAGATTGCCCCACCTTTTATACCCCTGCATACTCTTCTGTTACAGTGAGGGGTCTCATTGCCAGTATTTATCGAGCTGCTGGAGAATGCAGCTACAAGGTCACCCCGAAGCATTTGCAGGCCCCTCTGCTGAAGGTTGACAAGTTAAATTCAACACTTGCCTGCCAGCCTTGGCCGGGTTTCACTGACTCCTTTCTGCGGAGCCACTCGGACTCTTAGCAACATACCTAGATCTTTGGGTAGTGACCTTAAAAATTCTCCCGAGGATGAAATAGAAATTTTAAAAATCGAATGAAAACTCAATGTTTTTTTTTTTCTGGTATGTGACAGGTTAAGTTTTAAGAGAAGCTTTCTGATATCACTTTAGCAAAGCACATGCTCCAACTTTCAGATTTGCTATAAAAAGCCATATCAGAGAGCCAAGCTGACCAGGCTTTTAGAAGGATTTAACATGGGAATAAATCTCTAATCGAAAAGCAGCTAAGCAGGCCCAAGCTGGGCCAGGTGCCTGGCTTTTCTTCACTGCATCTTCACCTCGTGCTGAGCTGTGCAGCTGGGGAGGGCTGGGCAGCCCCGAGCTGCCTCCTTCCCTCCGCACTCCCAGCGCGACACGAGTCGGCAGGGAGAAATTCTCCAGGAATCCACCGGCCCATAATTCCACAACTGCCCAGAGTTTTCATCCCATCTGTATTTAAACTATTGGAACCCTGCTTCCTTCTCAGAAGGAAGTAACTTCTTCAGGTGGCAGCTCGGAATTTTTCCTGAGGGGATTTGGGTTGAGAGAGGAAAAGTGCAGTTAACGCCACCATGAATGAGCCTTCCTCTCCCTGCAGGTGCCTGTCACCCTGCCCGGGCACCGCTGAGGATGAGGAGGGCACGAAGGGCCCGTAGGTGCTGGAGGCGGCTCCACGATGGTGCCCGTAGCCGGTGTCCGTAGCCCGTGCCAGTGGCCGTGCCGATGCCCATAGCCCGTGCCAGTGGCCATGCCGGGGGCCATGCCGGTGCCGTGCGA